GGCGGCGGGCGTTGGCGGTCGCCCAAGTGAAGCCAGGGTGAGCCGCCGGACAAGTTATCTAAGTTTAGCAGTTCACGGTACAAAACGGCGAGGTCTGGCTTCACTTGACTTACCAAGAACGTCCGCCGACGAGGGTCTCGCGAGCGGAGCGAGCGAGGCCCGAGGCGGNAATAAAAATTTTCAGCAAGTTTAAAAACCAAAATTAAAAGTTGCAAGAACTTTACAAAATATGAGATATTTGAAAAAACGGCGCTTCAAGCGCCGTTTTTTCAAATCTCATATTTTTCAAAGTTTAATTTTTTTAAGAAGAACTTTGAAGAAAACAAACAAATTTTTAAATGTTTTACTTTTTTGCTTGCTAGCAGAGCAAGATGTAATGTGAAACATAACTTGTATTAGGAATAAAAATGCAAATAAAAGGAAAAAATAAAAGCAAATAAAAGTAGGCACAACAATGTGTAACAGTTGTGAAAGTGGTGTAGTATCCAGTAGAAAAATACGCTTGATTCGCTGAATGGCCTCTGTGAAGTGGTTGCTCTGTGTAAAGAATTAATAATTAACAACAGCTAATTAGTACTTTTTCAAACAAACTTCAAAGCGTTTTCAAAATCAAAAATAGCTTACAGTTGCAGTTGCAGTTCTAGTAGTGGTAGTGGCGGTTATTGCAATTGTTGTTGTGCTGCTGTTGCTGCTGCTGCTGACGACGACGATGGTAATCAGATTGATCTCGACTGTTTTGGCGTTGTTTGGTGCGCCGGTTTGTGGCAGACGAGTGCATCTCCTCGACCCGTCCAGCATCTTTGTTTTTCCCAGTGTCATCCATTTTGATTTTTTTCTCTTGGGCTTCTTCTTCATCTTCTGACTCAATGTACAATTCACATTTAACACGTACCCATTTTGTTTTCGATTTTCCCGAATTCTCGTTGACTTCTTCTTTGACATACACTTCGCTCTGAACACGTGCCCGTTTTGCTTTTGCTTTTCTTTTCTCCTCCTCCTCCTTTGCAGCCTGACTTTCTTTTTCGGCTTTTTCTTTTTCTTCCTCTTCTTTCTTTCTCTTCTTAGCCTCCTGTTCCTCTTTGACTCGGCGTTTTAGATTATCAAAGAAGCTAGGCTTATTTCTTAATCTGGGATCACTAGGGGGGCGAGGCGGCATCAGGGGGCGCGGCATTTCATCATCATCATCGTTCCAGTAACTAGAGACGCCTCTGAAGGCCACCGGTTCTGGCTTCCAAATTTCCGCCTTGCCAGCTGGAGCTTGTAGCCCCATTCGAATCAGTGGGTCAATGCGGAACTGCGTCTTCTTGAGCCCCATCCCTCGCAGGTCCCGAACTGTTCTCCGCGGAGCAGCCATTTTCTGCACCATTGGTTCCTGCGGAATTACGCAGCGGATCGTGCTCGGTGTTGGAGGCAGTTCCAATTCTAACGCCAGGTGAAGTATTAGTTGGGGACAATTGAATATTGAGCCTGCTGTAGCTGACTGTA